ATTAGTTTTGTAAAATATGTGGTATGTCTATAGTGTAAATAAGATATTAGTATGTATTTTATAACAAAATAATAGCCTTTAGTATTTAATTTGATTAACATGGCTTAAGAGGGGCATAAATGCAATTTTCGAAAGTTTAGGGGCAAAATTGTAATTTCACAAAAATTGAAGACGAATCTGTAAATACTGAAAATTCTGGAAGCTATTACAGAATTAGAACCTTAAAATGTTTTGATGGTTAATTTATTTCAAAATTAGACTAAATTGTTAATTTTGAGAGTATAAGGGCAAAGTTGTAAATTCACAAAGTTTTGAGGCTTAAATGCAAATATTGATATTATAATGAGCTGTTCACAAAATCAGAAATTGTTTGATGATGGTATGGTTAAAGAGAATGAATTCTTGTACGTTGAAAAAATCCGTAATTTTTTGAATGCCACAATTTTATGGAAAATGTAAATAAAATTTTGTGGCAAATACGATATTGATATGACTTGCACATGATATTGAAGTACACTGGATGAGAGCAGTACTATGAATAACATATGGTTTGTAAATGATGATGGCGTAAAATGGAAAGAATGAGGATATATGTGTTGAAGTTCATGCAATTAATTAATTATTTATCATTAATTGTATGAGAAATGACAATTATTGATATGTACATGGCAATTGTTATGTTGTTATAAAATATAAATGGATGATGCCATGTGATTAAGACCTTTGCCACGGCCTATTTGCTACCGAGCGAATTCTCTTGTATGAGTATATGGATGAGACTCTGAAGTTAGTAAGATGTTCTACTATATGAGATGATTCTCTACGAGGTTGAGATGATATGAAATCCTATGATGACACGATGGTATGACATGGCTCTTGTGATCATGATATGACATAGCTTTGCTATGGTATGATATTAAGAAATGGTCATTCTCAAGTGGATATACAGTGGTGTATTTATCATCGCTAATGAAGAGGACATCCATGATGAATGGGCTGAGGCATGGCAAAGGGTATGAATGATTCCGTCCCCCATGAGTTGATGGTGACAATGTCTCGTGAGTTGAGATGCCTCGTGAATTAAGATGGTATTGGCTAGTGATGAATATGAACTCATGTGTATAAATTGATGAAATATGATATGATATTATGAAATAATATGTCATATGTATACTTATGAATGATTGATTTTATGGAATGTTGATGATGTCTCCAATAGCATGTCATGATAGGAAAGATAGTACATTTACTCCTGTGCTTGTTGTATATAATTATTCTGTATTGCCTTGAACTCGTACTTTATGTAAATACCAGGTTAAGTGGTAAGAAGATTTCCTACCTAAAATTTAGAGAATTTCATTTACTGAGCCTCGACTCACTCCTTATTTTTCAAATTTGTAGGATGATTTACCAACCGCCAATGTTTTTTTTAGAGTCCCTATTTCCATTGACTTTGTTTATGAAGATGTACACATTCCCGGAACAAGGATAGGAACATATACTGGGTGTGTTTCTACCTTGTGGGTCGACGTGGGGTTTTCACAATGGATTCCCTCCTGTTTCATAGCTTGGTATTGTAATCTCCACGGTGATATGATTGGCCCATGGAGAGGGTTTGATAGTCAAGATGACGTATTGTTGGGTGAAGTTATCGACCCATAATGTGTAGTTTGAATATTGTACATAAAAGTTTAGTTGAGGGTATGAGTGGTGTAATTGGAGATAGACGACCTCGATCCTTCCCAGGTCTTATGAAATAGTGTATTGCTCGAATGTTGTATAAAAGTAACAATAGTGAAGTTTGTATTTTCATTAAACTTGTGTGATTGCCAGTATGGGATATTTTGAACGTATTATCGTGCTTCTGCATGCTTATAGAAAAAAAAAATACATGTCGCGTGTGACGTTCTGGGACGTTACATAAATGGTCTATAAACTTTGGCCTAATGTACAATGTGATCCTCGAACTTTTAATTGTTCAATATGATCTTTGGACTTTTAGAGGCTAAGTTGAACATATACCAAAAGTCCAAGGATCACATTGAATATATTAAAAGTTTATGGACCATATTGTATATTGAGCTAAAGTTTAGGGATCACGTTGAATAAATTAAAAGTTCAGGAATCACATTATATATTTGGCCAAAGTTTAGGGACTATTTGTATCATTTTTCCAAAAAGGAACGGCAATGCCAGAGATAAGGCCTAAGTGGGTTCAGACAAAAGTCACGAAATTTCTACTCATTGGTAAAATCTATTTGCAAACTTTAATATTCCAGCCTAATCGGGTCCACTTGTTTGGTCTCTTACGAAATTCGGCTAGTGGAGCCGTCCCAAAATTTACTTTTGAAATATTATAGGTCGATCGTGATTTGGTTCAACCCTATGAGTATCACTTAAGATATGTAATGTCATTGACGTATCACGATGACTAGTACTTTCTTCTTTAATTAATAGCTAGTACAAGATCATGAAAGTTAACTAAATCAAATTTAAATAGGTTAGCCTAAGTAAGCTCATTAGTTTAGTCGACATGATACACTCAATTAAATTGGTCACACATGCACAGGTGCTTTCACATTGCATGAGGATGAATCCGAACGATACACACCCGACATCAATCCTGTCAAGTGGCTCGACGCAATCTTGACTCTAATTCAATCAACAACTATCCAAATAAATTGAAGAAAAATGCTTTCATTATCAGAGAAAATGTTTAGACTCAAATTATTGTTAATGAAGAAAACCTTTTTCAAGGATTTGTTTTTCTGAGTGTTAAGAACGATTCAAATCAGAAAAATATTTTTCGAATTACTCATATTGGCGAAACTAATGGAATGTAAATTCACATGCATGCATCACACCACAAAGGGTTAGATCTATTAATATATCTATATTATTCGTTTATTCTTCGGATGGAAATTTCTGAACTTTGACTCAATGTGCAATGTGGTTCTTGAACTTTTAATTTATTTAATGTAGTCCTTGAACTTTAACTCAATATGCAATGTGGTCTCTGAACTTTTAATTTATTCAATGTTGTCTCTGAATTTTTTGTGCATATTTAATTCATTGAATATTTTCATATAATTCAGGGACAACATTGAATATGTACCAAAAGTCAAGAAACCACATTGAACAAATTAAAAATTCAGGGACCTCATTGTACATTGAGTTAAAGTTCATGGACCATTTTAAATAAATTAAAATTTTAGAAATCACATTGCATATTAAGCCAAATTTCAGAGTTTGTTTGTGTTATTATCCGTTTATTTTTTGGGTAATGGATGTGAACCTGAGGATGTTGAACAGCCTCTCAAGCTTTGCCAAAAAATGCATGGGGGTGATGGTTGATGTGATGGGCTTGATGGATCTCTAATTCGGATTCAAATATGTTGCCGCCATTACAAGTGAAACTTCAACCTTTACAATGCAAACACTGCTCATTTGCACGCGCCATAGGCACATCGTGCGCATGCTCCAAGAGGAAAGTCGGAAGTTTGTGTTGATTATAGCCCGAAATTAATCCTGAATTGATTTGAAATTCGATCCATGAAGTGTGACAAAACCCGAGCCATATTAGGAAAGTCCGAATTGAACTGTTGCCAACGGGATCGTGAATGGAACAAAATGGAAACTAATTTCCCACGAGAGTTCTTTTCCAAGTTGATGTCGAAGAAATGCTCATAGAATTTTCCGCATATAAATATTTTGTTGTTGTAGCATTTTGTGCTTAATATGTGTAGAACTTGCGAGAAATACAAAGATCGAGAGCCATATTTCAAGAGAGTTGAGAGTGTGAGAAAATCCCTTTCTTGTAATTAATTTTTGTGAGTCGGGGTTAAATTTAGAATTGGAAAACACTTATGAAGGCGAAATTACCAAGAAAATCCTACACTTATTGTATTTATGCAAATTCAGTCATAATCCTTTCAATTTGACCAATATTTTTTGTCTTAAATTTGATAATTGAGTCATAAACATTTTAATGATTTACCAATGTAGTTTATTCAGTCTATTTTGGCCAAAAATCGCTGACGTGAACACCGGCCATCTAACGTGGCACGACCGGTCGTCTAACGTGGCACGGTCAGCACACAGCCGACGTTAACATGGACAATTTTTATAGTTTTTTAATTCTTTTTTTTCTCCCTTTTCTTTTGCTAGTGGCTGATTATTGAACAAGGCCCCCCTCGTTAGATTTGGCGAGGCCGACCCTCGCCTAGGCTAAGGCGGCCTCGTCGAGCATCACCCGGGCAAGGATTGACCTCGCTAGATTTGGCAAGGGTGGCCCTCGCCCTCGCCTAGGCGAGGCCTGGTGAGAATCGGCCTAGCCAAGTCTAGCAAGGAGGGCCCTCGCCGGCGCTCGCCCTCGCCCACGCCCTCGCCTAGGCAAGGCCAAACCTTGCCTAGCAGAGGGCGGCCTTGTCGAGACTCGCTCTTGCTGGGGCTCACCCTCGCCTAAGCAATGTCGACCCTCACCCGCAACCCTTGCCCAAGCGAGACCTGCTCTCACTGGTCATCGCTTGTGGCTCGTGTGGCCGGTGGTCGATGACCGGCCACTGCAAAAAGCAAAGAGAAGGAAAAAGAAAGAAAAAACATAAAGGAAAAAAGAAAAAAACTCAGAATATTTTTTAAGAAAATTCAAAAATTATTCACGTTAGTGCCGACCGTATCACGTTAAACGATTATAATCATGTCTTTGTTGATTATGTACGACTCATCTCGTCAATTTCTCATCATAGAGTAGGCACACCATCAAACCACGATAATCCGTTATTTTCGAGTTTTATTTCTATGATTTATTTCTTACTCAAAATGTTCAATTTGTTCACGCACTTTCCGTATTAGTTGTAACAATTTGGTATCTCAAACCAGTCTTATTAAAAGGCAAAGACACAGTACAAGAAGAAACATTTCCATCGACATCTTAGAGAGGCATATAATACCCGATAGAGAGAACAATCCTCCTGAAAGCTAAAGAGAGCCAATGCACCAAAAAGCGACTCATTCGCGAAAAGCTACAAACCACCAGTTTTCCAACATTGCTACCTGAAAACAACCCAACCAGATGGTCCCATGTTACACGAGACACATTTACAACCAAGCGTCCTCTGTATCCCCAAAGAAAGAAACAACCTCTATGTCCTCGCACAACGGAACGGCAACACAAAGACAAACAGAAATGAAACCATTTTGAAAACATGAGAAAAGAGGAGACTACGCCCAAGAAAAAGTACAGAAAGCTGACTCATTCGTGAGAAACCACTACCACTTGTTTCCCGACATTGCGGCCGGAGAACAGCCCGATGAGAGCTGCCGGAGCGTTCTCAAGACCCTTGGCCATGTCTTCCACATACACAATCTTCCCCTCTTTGATCTGAGGCAATACCATCTCCAGGAACTTCGGGTAGAGATGATAGTAATCGAACACCAAGAAACCTTCCATTCGAACCCGCTTCATTATAATGTTCATCAAGTTGCGTACGCCTTCGGGCTGCTCGAGGTTGTACTGTGAGATCATTCCACATACCGCGATTCGGCCATGAATTTTCATGTTGAGCAGCACCGCATCAAGCATCTTTCCGCCAACATTTTCAAAGTAGATATCGATCCCCTCGGGGAAGCATCTAAACATTTACAACAGAAGAAGTCAACTGGAGTCGGCTTCAGGAATGGGCGTATATTTTTTATCCTGCGCAGCAGTCACTTATTTGCGTAATCATCATTGCTAAACTCATAGCTCACCTTTTCAGTGCTGCATCCAGATCCAGTTCCTCCTTGTAGTTGAAAGCATCATTGAATCCAAACTTGTTCTTCAGCAAATCAACCTTTTTCGCAAAAATAACAGCAATGAGAACTTTAGAAAAATGAAATTCGGAAGAGAATTGATGATGATGGTACATTCAACAGAGCCATCACTCTCTTGAGCATTGTCAAATTTGAGAAATACAGCACTCATCGTACCTCAAGTGCTTCTTTCAGATCTAATTCTACATGAGTAGACGACTGTTTAAGCCTTTGAGGTTTATGAGAACATGAACATGCACTCTATTTTTATCTTACCAAAAAAAACATGCACTCTATTTCAAAACGCTTGTCTAGTCACTCTAGTATGAAACAAAAGTGAAAATTGCAGATGTCAAAAAATGTTTGGTGAACCATTAACATGTATGAAATTTTGTGCTTCTTTCAACCATGATATGATTACCTTCTCTTTGCTACCGGCGCTGCCGACGACATAACAACCAAACAACTTTGCAAACTGCCCAACAAGCTGACCAACGGCTCCTGATGCAGCTGATATGAAAACAGTCTCTCCTTTCTTAGGAGAGCATACCTCGAAAAACCCGGCATAAGCCGTCATGCCTGGCATACCTGCACAGTTTCAATTTGTAGAAATTAGACGAGTCACAGGATTTGCTGAAGCATGAGAGTAGGAGTGTAATGCTATGGCAAAATCTCAAATGGTCCTATTATTGCCCAAAGGTGAAGCCCGTTAAAAATGTATTGACTTCTCAAGGAAAGATACTATTTCTCTAGAAATAACTGATTTACCCACTTCTATCAAAGCGAGAAGACAGCTTTGCAGGGCTCTATCATTCAGACAATTCAACGAGGCGATAAGGCTCATCAACAATGAAGATCCCTACAAGTAATATCTTAACTATCTGATTCTCCTTATTCATTAACAACGAAAGAGATATTACATTCAATGATTAAAGAGCATACCCAAAAGGCCAGTGTAGTAAGACAGAGGAACATCGGTGTGTTCAATCTTAAAGCAAGTTTCTTGCGCGGTAATTAGACTATACTCCTCCCATCCAGTGTAACCCCAAAGCAAGTCGCCTTTCTTGAAGTTTGGATGCCCAGATTCCAAAACTCTAGCTACTCCATATCCAGTAATAGGCTGCATCAATGTGTTAAATACTTCAGAATATAAGTGCAAATAATTTATCAAACACAGCTAGACATTGTACTTCCAAGAAGGAATGATTGGACCATAAAGACAATTTCATAATCGTATACGCTACAATAACCAGGGACCATTTCACTTTAACTTTTTTTCCGATTTTAAAGGTTTCTAACTCGAGTCATATTGAAGTAAGGTAAGTCAAAATGCAGCTTTCTTGACACTCGAACCAACTTCCAACAAACCTAGAAGAAGAGCGGCATAATTTTAACATCTCAGCAGGAATAAAATTGAAATCCATAGTAATACATCGGAATCTTAAGCAATATGCTAAAGGATCCATCCAAAACTCTGCTTATCCCAGAGTCATGTTTATTTTATATTTCAATGAATACATCTCATCATCCTATTTCACGTGCAAGCTATCGTCACCATTCGTCTTGCTTACACATGAGTGGGAATGTTAAGCAACTCGCATCGCTTAACCCCGTGATTTATGTAGACTCTGCAAACGCAAGACATGTAAAATTCCTACGCCAAATAGCATAAGCAAGTCTCTATAGACACACTAAGCTCTTCAATACATTTGCCGAATCTTATAGCGACATCACAAACCATTTCCACACTTTCAAAGCCACCACCAATTGGCTCACTTCAGAGATAAAAAAGATATAGCCATGACAGCAAAAGAAAAAATTAATAGACATACAGCACAGAGTCGCTACAATCCTTTGATTAGAACGATTGGACATGAACAGAACTAACACTGGACAAGCCCTCGTATATTAAATTAGGCAGACCTGAGATCATAATCCAAGAACAGTAGTCAAACATGTAAAATTCCACTCAGGAAAACTAATATAATATCCGCCATCCATCAGCAGAGGCACCTGCAACTTTCTCCTAAAACAACATAATCAATCCCCAGAGCAAACTGGTCAAAATTAATAATAAAAAAAAAGGACAAACATATCATAGTCGAGAAAACCCACATCATCCGACAGTCGAAGCTTATTTTATTCAAAACCTTCCGATTTCAACTACGAGGAAGAAGACCATTGGGCGCCGAGTGAACGACCCATTTCCTCTTTCTACGTTCTTTTGGGAAAAAAGACAGAATTTGACACGAAAAGAGTATTTAAGGTTGCTCACCGAACCAGGCTTGAAGGAATCGACATAGCCCGGGACATCGAGCTTCGCCATGCGGGTCCTCATGTACGGATCGCAGGACAAGTAGAGATTTTTCACGAGAAGGCCGCTCGATCCCTCCGGGAGGCGCAGCTCCATGGTGGATTCACGCACCGCCATGTCCGTCTCCTTGGGGAAACCGCTCACGTAGCCCCCGAACACCACTTGCTTGTTCCTTACCTCTCCACTGTCGCTCGCCATCGCTCCCTCGCTGCTCTTTCCCGTCGAAACTCGAGACACCCAGAAGGAGAGCAGGCGCTGTGGAGTGCGTGAATGCCGGTATCGCTTTTAGCGACTCGGATGCTGGGCGTGTAACGCGTGAGGAGGCCCTGCGCGACAAGGAAAAAAAGGATGACCTTTCGTGCGTGTCAGTCAGTGGGAACAGTTGTCGAGGGGGTACGGCGACGATGCAGATGCGCGTGTGGAGGATGATGAGGAGCGCGAGCCAGATGGTTCTGGAGATGCTCCGCGAGGAACACGACATCATTTGGTCATTACGGCGCCGCTCTTCTTGGTCGGTGGGGGGCTTCTCCTTCGTCGTCGGGTCGAATGTGGCCGAGATTGATCATGGCCCTTCCAAGGTTCTACGAGGTGATCTGAATCACCTTCTCTTGAGCTAAAATGACTCGAATTGTCCATGAATTTTAACCCGACGTGTAATGTCATTTTCAAATTTTAATTTATTTAACGTGATTCACGAGCATTGATTTAAACTAAACTTTAATCTTGAACCACGGTAAGAGGATGAGACCGTATACTTCTCGTGTGTCATCTATTCTAGTTAGACCTGTTAAACGGGTGGGTCGGGTCGGGTTTGGGTCGGGTTATAAATGGTCCGATCCAAATTGACCAATTAACCCGTTTATGACCCATTTATTCATAGTGTAAATATCTCGACCCATACCCGATCCGACCCATACCCAATCCATACCCGACCCGATCCATATTGCTAAAACACTTTTATATTTAACCTAATCTAGGAATACTTGTTTCTTATGATTTTTTTTTAAAATTATACTGTTAAAACATTTTATGCAATACAAAACTAGTGAAAAAATTTTATAATTTTTTTTAAAATTGAGGTTCTATTTGTTTTACCAAAAATGCGACATTTCTAAAAAATATTTTCCATAAAGTCATTATCCAAGAAAATAAAAAAATTAATTTTTTTTTATTTTTTAAATCGAATTTTTAATTATTTTTATTTTTTTTCTTTATTTTTGGCCGATCGCCGGCCGCCGTGGCTGGCGACTGACCACAGGCGAGGTCGAGCTCGCCTGAGGCCGGCGAGCTCGAGTCTCGCTAGATCGGCGAGGCTGGAGCCTCGCCACAGGTCGGCGAGGCTGGAGCCTTGCCGGGATCGGGCAAGCCTCGCTCGAGGCCGGCGAGCTCGAGCTTCGCCGGCCTCCGGCGAGGTCGTCCCGCCCCGGTGGCCGGTCGCCGTGGCCGACCACCGGCCGGAATAAAAAAAAAAGAAAAAGAAAGAAGAGAAACGAAAAAATAAAAAATAAAAGAAAAAGAGAAAAAAAAATTAAATTTCGATTTTTTTTAAACATTTTTGTAAAGAGAGAGAGTATGTGGATGGGTGTAGTAGGTGGGTTGGACATGGGTTCCAAACTCAACCCATTTAAACCCATTTATCTTTAAACTTTAAAATTTAAAACCCATTTAAGGTTGACTCTTTAAAATTAAAGTGACCCATTTATTTTTAAATGGGTTATATATGGGTTTAAGACCCATTTTGACACCTCTAATTCTAGTGTTGTTGGCATTTCGCGTGCTATGATTTGTGCTATGCAAGATATTTTCCCATATTATCAGTATTACGAGCAATTATATGAATTATCTTGAAAGAAAACACTAGGGGCGCTTATGATAATCATTCTGTTTATCTGTTTTTTTATTTTTTTGTTCTCCGGAACAAATTTGGAATAGAAATCCTTTTGGTAACGCAATTTCATTTTTCTATTTCTGGAATAAATTTCTATTCCAGAAATAGGTTTGGAAATAAAATCAGATTTTTACTTGTCTATTTTTTGAACAGAAATGAGAAATAAAACTCTTCTCATCACTTGCTTTTACTACTAGCCGGCTATCCATGTGCCGCCCCCCGTCGCCGCCGGTCGCCTCTCGCCGCCGTAGGCTGCCGTCCTCCGCTACCTATCGGCCATCGTTCGTCGCCGGCCGCCTCCCGCTGCCATCTCCTGCCGCTCATTGTCTACCTTCCTCCGCCTCCCAATGCTGGTCGCCTCCCATCGTTGGCCACCACTAGCCGTCCTTCGCCGCTGGCTGCCTTCCGCTGTAGCCTAACACCGGCTGCCTCCCACTGTCGGCCGCCTCTGGCCGTCCTCCATTGTCGTTTGCCTTCTGTCGCCGTCCAACGCCGGCCGCCTCCCATCGCCGCCCACCTCCCATCGCCGCCCAACATCGGCCGCCTCCCGTCACCGTTCTCCTTCGCCGCCCAATGCCAGCCACCTCTAGCTGTTGCCCGCCTCCTGCAATCGCCTGCTCCGTCGCCTCCCGTTGCTGGCCACCTCCCACAATCGCCTGCTTCGTCGCTTCTAGTTCGCTGGTCGCTCGGGAGGGAGAAATTTTGTGTCATTGTTGACACCTAAATTTTGGCGATCCATTTAGATACATATTGAATAGGAAAATTAGGAGTCGATCCCGACACCTGGCAAAAATAATAATTACACTGCATATAGATTTTAGGAGCATTTATAGTAATAGGCTCATATTAGTTGCGTTTGCATTAGATCAACGGTGAATGAACTTAGTTGAAAGGTTTTGAGCTAAATTGTGGATTGAGCCCATGGATAAAGATTTTCGCCAAATCCGTTCATTATCATGGCTGAACTTTTTGCACGTGGGATGCTTACACTTAGAAAGGTTATGAAGAATTTCCGGAATATATGCATGGAGGTTCGGGAGATGCGATCATGAGTGGAATATATAACGTGCAAGAAATCTCGTGGGAAAGCCTATATTTCCATTTGTGTGCATGTTAAACTTTCCCAAATTTTGATTCGTAATTATCGGTCAATATATTTTTGGTTGGGCACATGTGCAAAAATATCTTTCATGATTTGCTGAAGATGTCCATGATTTCATAGGGCTTTATTTTTTTCGGATATTTGTGGAACAGGCAAGATTTCGTCGGTCAATGGAAACTAGTAAAAAAGAAGAGCAACTGGGAAAGAAATATTCACGTGAGGGCATATATTATTTGAGCAATATATCTTTCTCAAAACAAGAAAGAGTACACTACTCCCTTATTCTGAAGGCCTAAGGACCCGTTTGGTTCGGCTTTTCAAATGCAACTTGGGGGAATGCAAATACCTTTAGGTGAAAGCCACTTGGGGAAATGCAAGTGGTGTTTGGTAAAAAAAAATTTGTGAAGCTACTTTGGCCTATGTAGTGTTTGGTAAATTTTTTTTTGCAATGGGCTTTGGCAATTTTTATTCTTAATATTCCGGTTTTGCCCCTATTACTATTCATCTTCTTCACCGGCGAGGGTGGCCGGCGAGGTGGCCGGCGAGGGGCCGGCAAGGTCGGATCTGGCCGGCGAAGGCCCGGCGAGGTCGCCTGACCTAGGCGACGGCCGCTGGGGTCGGGCAACCGCCAGTGCGCCGTCGCTGGGTCGGCGGTCGCCAGGCTCGCGCGACCAGCGGCGCTCGCTGGGTCGCGCGACCTCGGGCGACCGTCGCCGGGTCGCGCGACCCAGGCGGCCGTCGCCGGGTCGCGCGACCCAGCGACGGCCGCCGAGGTCGCGCGACCCAGGGCGGCCGTCGCCGAGGTCGCGCGACCCAGTGCGAGCGCCGCCCGGGTCGCGCGACTCCGGGCGACCGCCGACCCAGCGACGGCGCTACTGGCGGCCGCCCGACCCAGGCGGCCCGTCGCCTAGGTCGAGCGACCTCGCCGGCCTTCGCCGGCCAGATCCGGCCTCGCGGCCACCCTCGCCGGCCACGTGAAGAAGATGAACAAGTGATGGGCAAAACCGGAAAATTGAAATTTGAGTGAGGGCAATTTGGGAAGAAAAAATAAGCTTCAGCATTTCACAAATGCTGAAAGCCCAAAGCTGGTCCGGACCAGCTTTGGGCTTTCAGCATTCCAATGGCATTTCAAATGCTGGCTTTCGGCTTTCCGAGTCCGGAAAGCCGAACCAAACGGTTCAGCATTTTGGGAAGGGGCTTTCGAGGCCGAAAGCCCCTTCCCAAAGCTGAACCAAACGGGGCCTAAGTCGGCCCTGCTTATAAAAGAAGACTCGTCCGAGACAAGGGGGTTCTCTCCTTTGGATGGAGAACACACGAAAAAAGCACACACGAGATTGAGAGAGAGAGTTGGCTGCGTACGCGTGCAGCCGCTACGCCGCGCCGCCCCTCCGCTGCATTCGTGATGCCCCACCGTCATGCCCGCGTTGCCTGACGCCCACCGCCGCGCCGCCGCTACTGTCCCTGGCGAGCCATTCTCGCTGCTGCCGCTTCCGGAGCTACCGTGGCTCCCGCATCGATCTCCGCCTACCACCGCTGCCACCCAACCGCGTCGAAGAGCCGTTGTTGTTAGCTCGACGACGCTGCTGTCCCGAAGCCCTGCCGACGACCTGCTGCCCCAGTCCGACGATTCCCTTTTGCTGTTGCTGTTCTTCGTGAGTCGTCCCTGTCGCTGTTCTTCGTTCAGTGACGCTCTGCTCCTCACCGACACGTCAAGCAAAGCCCTGACATTCCACGGTCAAATATCTGAGGAGTCAACCTACACAAAAATCATTCAGTAAGTTTCCCAGAGAAGCCGCTAGTGATCTCCCCACCATCACCGCGAGACACTTTGTTTTGCAGCTTTCTTGCGAAGCATCGTCGCTGGTCATCCTCACCGCGATCTTTGACGTGAGCCGCTCGAGTATCACCTGCCTTGACCGAGCATCACCGCAAGCCATCACTGCGTTATCCACCGTTCATTGTCCAAATTTGGAAGCAAATATTTAAATTAGGTAAAGATCTCATCTAATTTGATTTTCGAGTATATTATTTTCTTGTTTGAGATATTACGATCTCTTGTGAATCTTTTAGCAATAGTGCCGTATCCATGAAATTCCCAAGTAAACTTTAAATTAGGAATTATTTCCTAATTAAAGTATTTAGTTTATTTCGAATTTCATGAAAAATACAAAAATATCATATGCATGTCATATAGATTAATTGCATCATGCTTGCACGTCATCTTGCCACATCATTCATACCTTGCCATGTGTCATTGCTCGCGTGTCATTAGAAATTGCACGTCTAGGTTCATTTGTGTGTCATATTAGAATAGTCTATTTAACCGTCATATTAGAATAGTCTATTTCTAAGATAGATTGAGTGAAATTGCGTGTTAATTAGAAATCATATTAGAGTTGTTTATGTGATTTTCTAACTAACATTGTAGAAGCTTTCGTTGCTTCGAGGTAAGTTTTCCTCCTTATATTTGCAATTTATTTATCGTTTTGCATTATTGAGTGTTATATTATTGGTTGCGCACCCGTATGATTACCTCGCATGTTAGTGGATAGCTGCCTACAAATATTTTTTGAAATAGAA